GCATGTTTGTGCGCTCTCTGTCAAATAAATAAATAAAATCTTTTAAAAAATAAAATAAAATCTTTTTAAAAATTTTAATTAAAAAATGAATAATGGCAAGATAAAATGCTTGAGAATCTGAAGTAAGTCTTTTCACCTAGAAACTAGATAACCCTTAGTGAGTTTTTAAGTTGTTGATTTAGCTTCTCTAACTACTACACAGAGACCAAACTTAAAGAATTAAATGTCCCAAGCGCTTGGCAGCTTTTTTGAGTAATCCTGAGCTCCAACCAACCTTTCTATTACATTAAACTTTTGTTTTATTTATTTTTTTTTTTAAGATTTTATTTATTTGACAGAGCACAAGCGGGGGGAGTGGCAGGCAGAGGCAGAGGGGAGAAGCAGGCTCCCCGCAGAGCAGGAGGAGCCCGATGTGGGACTTGATCCCAGGACCCCGGGATCATGACCTAAGCCGAAGGCAGTCGCTTAACCAAGTGAGCCACCCAGGCACCCCTAAACTTTTGTTTTATTAAGCAGCCATTTCCAAGCTACTTCTGTGCAGTATCTCTATATTAAGGAATATCATAAAAATCTCCTTAACATACTAAAATCAAATTAAAGTGTACCTTATTTTTATTCTGTCATGTAATTAAAAAACAAAAAAGACTAACATCACTCAGCTACTTTTAGGAAGATGCATAAGTGTTTACAGCATTAAATGACTGGGTTTTGTACCTTTCCAAAAGTTCGAGAATTATGCTCTAACAGCAGCTATCAGCTCCTTATTAGAAAATCGCATTTTGAGGGAGTTTTGGTTTACTGGCATACTTTCCAGAGAAAGGATTTTAATTGCTTTTAAAAGCCTTGAGCTATGAAACTATTACTAGTTTTTACATATGATTCAGTGTGTGTGAGAAATATTTATCAGAGAAAACTAGTTTGAAAATATTAAATGCTGAAAACCTGTGTTTGATAGACAGCAGCTCTGAAGCTGGCAATACCTCAACCTTTCAGTGACTCCACTTTAAATAATCATTCTCTTCATATGAGTGGAAGATGGTTCTATCAATAAATGGAGGTGTGGTAGTGACTAATTTGAAAATGTTAACCATGTCTGTTAATTGGCCGTCTTAGAAGAATGAAAGGGAGGAATCAAAGGCCTGTCTTCTCAGTCCTCTCGTCTCTTGTTTGTACATACAGATGAGGACAGAACTGTATTTCCTTTCATCTCAGAAGAATCGCCCCAGCCTCTTTGGAATGCCACTGATTGTTCCATGTACTGTGCATACCCGGAAGAAGGACTTGTATGATGCGGTTTGGATTCAAGTGTCTCGATTAGCCAGCCCACTCCCACCTCAGGAAGCCAGTAACCATGCTCAGGATTGGTGAGTTTAGGGGATCAGCCTAGACCTGTGGTTTCCAAACTCAAGAAGAAGAAGAATTTCTATGAATTTTGTGTGATACATAGGATACATTCCATGTTAGGTTAATCACTTGTTTAAGAACCATCCAGGGGCGCCTGGGTGGCTCAGTCGTTAAGCGTCTGCCTTCGGCTAGGGTCATGATCCCAGAGTCCTGGGATCGAGCCCCACATCAGGCTCCCTGCTCTATAGGAGGCCTGCTTCTCCCTCTCCCACTCCCCCTGCTTGTGTTCCCTCTCTCACTGTGTCTCTCTCTGTCAAATAAATAAAATCTTTAGGGAAAAAAAAAAAAAAAGAACCATCCAGAGAGGATATAATTCAACCATTTGGTTTCATCTTTTGAGTAGGAGAGACTGACTATACAGCTTCCTTTTATCACCTAGACATTCTAGTGTCTAATAAACCTTTCATTCTCTAATCTCTTACCTAAAATCCCTCCTGCTAATGCTTTAAATCCTTCAGGTAATATCCTTGACTTGTTATTGCAAAACTAGAGAGTATGAATTCACCAGGAAATTTGTATCCTCTCAACCCTCTGAAATTCAGGATGGGAACAATAGTGTGCATTTCTATACATGAACTCTAAAAAATTCCCATGCCATAACAAATGATTCAGTTGGATTATTTCCATACCATGTCAGTTTAACACAGAATAATTTCATAAGTCTAGGTAAAGAAAATAAATGTCTTCTGTTTTCTTTCCATTCCTCCTACCAGTGTTCTGTTGGATTAGTAAATGTGTTTATTTCTAATAATTGTTAGGATCATGATGCCTTATTTATATCTGAACTGAATTGCAGTTTATTATCTTGTTGTCGTGGTGCAAGTGAGAGTTCAGCTTCTGTGTTAACTGAATAGAAGTTCTCTTTGCTGGTAGGTTATGTTATGGGGTTTTTTGATGCCAACGATAAGGCTTGAGGATAAATCTTAAAGGAAAACTGCAAGTAATAGATAAGCAATTTAGTTGAGGAATGTTGTGTTTAGTAAAAATGACAGTAAGGCAGGATTAAATTTGAAGGAAAGTCGGACTGAATTGAAGGACTTCCAAATGAGGACTTTTCCCAGGGCTTGCTAATGAATTGGATATGGAGTATGAGGGAAAGAGGAATCCAGGCTTGGTTTTCAGCCTGAGCAATTGTTTATGAATGGTGTTAACATTTAATGAAATGAGAAAAACTGAGGAAGGAGTAGGTTTGGGCAAGAGATGACAGGAATCAAGTTAAATTCAAGATGTAGGTTATATTTTCAAGTGGGAAATAGACTGAAGCGTCCTTTGCTGGAGATAGAAACATAGGTGTCATCAGCAAATAGTTGGTATTTAAAGCTCTGAGACTAGATGATATCATTTAGAGAGTAAGAGTTAGTTAGAGAAGATACCCACAGTCTAATTCCTGATCCATTCCAACGTTTAGAGGTTGAAAAATGACAACAAGAGAGATTGAGAAGGAGCAGCCAGTGGGAACTGACCACTGGACTTGATAAAATGACAGTCTTTGTGACCTTTGCAAAAGCTGTTTTAGTGGAGTGGTGTAGATGAAGGCATGGAGGTTAGAGAAAGTGCTTCTACAGGCAATAAAAAAAATAATAAAAGTTGATCTTTTAGGAATAACACACTGAAATATTTATGAATGAAAATGGTAAAATGCCTCCAATTTCCTTCAAAATAATTAGTGGGTCACAATAGCCAAGAGGCTAATAACCCAAATGTTCATCAACAGACAAATGGATAAACAATATGTGGTATATCCATACAATGGAGGATTCATTAACCATAAAAAGGAATGAAGTTCCAATACCCACTATAACATAGATGAACCTCAAAAACATTATACTAAGTGAAATAAGCCAGACACAAAAGGACAAATACTGTGTGCTTTCACTTTTATAAGATATCTCAAGTAGGCAATTCATAGACAGAAAGTAGATTAGGGGTTACCAGGGTTTGGGAGGAGAGGTGTAGGGGAATTATTATTGCTTGATCGGTACAGAGTTTCTGTTCGGGAAGATGAAAAATTTCTGGAGATGGATGGTGGTGATGGTTGCACAGCATTGTGAATGTACTTAATGCCACTGAATTGTATACTTAAAAATGGTTAAATGGTAAATTTTATGTATATTTTACCATAGTTTTTTTTTTTTTTTAATGGAATAAAAGAACCCAGGGGAGCTAGGTATAAGAGTATAGATGAAATAGACGTGGCCAAGGATTGATGATTGTTATAGCTGGGTGACAAATACATGGGGGTTCATTGTACAGTTCTCTATTTTTGTGAGTGTTAATGTCAATAAATTTGAGTGTTTACATTAAGAGTCTCATGCTCTACCGACTGAGCTAGCCGGGCACCTTTGAGTGTTTACATTAGATGGACAAATTCCTGGAGTTGAGGATCTATATAAAAGATTATTTTGAGGGACAGTGGACAAGGAGGAAAGTGAGGATTTGAGGGCAGTGACTAGAAATTTCTCTTTGGTCTTGGGGGCCTGGGTAGCTCAGTTGGTTAAGTGTCTGCCTTTGGCTCAGGTCATGATTCCAGGGTCCTGGGATCGAGCCCCCGCATCAGGCTGTCTGCTCAGCAGGGAGTCTGCTTCTCCCTCTTCCTCTGCCCCTGCTCTCTCTTGCTTTTGCTTTCATGCATGCTCTCTCTCTCTAATAAATAAAATCTATTTTTTAAGAAGTAAATAAATTTCTCTTTGGTCAAATAATTGTTAAAGTAGTGATACTTGAATAAGTGATTTAAAAGGATAGGAGATGGTTGTTGCAAAGTAGGATATTTGGAACTGAGATTTTTGGAGGTGGTAAAGTCCTTATCATGGTTTCATTACCTTCAGCAACCATGTAATAGCCACTGCCAATTGCTGGGATCGAGCCCCACATCGGGCTGCCTGCTCTGCGGGAAGCCTGCTTCTCCCTCTCCTGCTCCCCCTGCTTGTGTTCCCTCTCTCGCTGTCTTTCTCTCTATGTCAAATGGATAAATAAATCTTTAAAAAAAATAAAAACGTTATGTACCTTATAGCTTTGAGTAGTTAAAGCAGGGAAAAGGGGTAACTGTCATGTACCACATCAGGATTCTGATTAAAGGAAACTTCTAAATATATAGTTAGTCGACTCTTCTGAAAAACCGTTATGACCTTTCAGCCTTCTGTGCTGTGTCAATGTTCTTGTCATAGAAAGGTCTAATTACTTGTTTAATGTGAATTAAATCTTATGATAGAATTAGGACTGAAGGATAATTGGTATTTGATTTCATGATTTGCTTATCTTATAAAATTTGCGTGGACCACATGGACTCTCTTAGAGACATCTGGCAGTCTAGTCTGTCTACCCTTCTGTATGCAAGGATACAACATGGGAGCCCTGAGTGTGTTTGGTACAGGGCTGCCTGCTGCTTATGGGTTAAGATAACCAGCATCGAACCATCACCATGGGCATACTACTATGACAGATGTCCCTGCCTTGGGTTACTTCAAGAGAAAATGAAAAGGAGTTGAGACCTCAAATCAGAAATGTTTTTTTATACTCTTTGGTTTATGTTCTGTTTCAGTGATGACAGTATGGGCTATCAATATCCCTTCACTCTACGAGTTGTGCAGAAAGATGGAAACTCCTGTGCTTGGTGCCCATGGTATAGGTAAAGTGATCTTCTGCAAAAGAAAAATTTTAGGAGAATTGCAACTTCAGATATTATACCTTTTTCATAAGGTTTCCAGTTTTTAGAAGTAATATTGAATATGGGGCGCCTGGGTGGCTCAGTCGTTAAGTGTCTGCTTTGGCTCAGGTCATGATCCCAGGGTCCTGGGATCGAGCCCCACATCGGGCTCCCTGCTCGGCGGGAAGCCTGCTTCTCCCTCTCCCACTCCCCCTCCTTGTGTTCCCTCTCTCGCTGTGTTTCTCTCTGTCAAATAATTAAATAAAATCTTAAAAAAAAAAAAGTAATATTGAATAATGAGAAGCTTAGAATAAACTTAGGAATTATTGATTCATCTTTTCCTTATTATGAGGTATATAGCTTAGTTTGCTCTTGAGCCTTAGGTGGTTCTATAAACTGTATGATACTCATCAAATTCATAGTTTATGATCAACATTTATTATTTTATACTTTCTGCTCCTTAAATATAAATCAAGTTAGCAGTTCTGAGTCCAGTAAAACATAGTTTTACTTACTAGACTTTCCTGGAAGTCTATTTTTTATTTTTAGAAGAATTACGGAGACTGATTGGTCATTACTGTTACACCTTGGAAAATACCTGAGTACTGAAGTCAGCCTTCAGAGAACTGTAATAGACGTAGCAAACAGAATCTAAATAGGCACTGAAACCATGGCCTTGTCATGGTCCCTCCCCTCCCATAAAATTTTATGTGCATTTATTTAATGTATCACTTTACAAACAAGGAAATAGGCATTGTTATATCAGATGAGTTATCCTACCTCAGAGCATTAAATAACTAAATTTAGAATTTTCTTACCCGTGTATTATCTCAAATGTCCAATTTCCATGTCATTTACTTGCCATAAAGTCCACATACTCATGTGGATTAAAAATGGCTGTCAAGTGCTTTGAAAAAACAGAGACTTGAGAAGTGATAGGCATGCTTCCCTGAAATAATAATAATTACTAATATATATTCATGCATTGATGAGTCTTAAGTTAGAGGCCCATGACAGACTGTGAACCCAAGAAAGAAAGTGGAGAAGTAGAAAGGGAGAATATATCTGATAAAGAAAATTTGGATTCTTTCATAATTATTCCATCCTTCAGTAGATCATTCCCCCCCCCCTTTTAGATTTTGCAGAGGCTGTAAAATTGATTGTGGGGAAGACCGAGCTTTCATCGGAAATGCCTATATTGCTGTGGATTGGGACCCCACAGCTCTTCACCTCCGCTATCAAACATCACAGGAAAGGGTAAGTACTCAAGGCCACCATAAGATGGTGACTTTTATTTGTAAACATTTTCCCAGTTTAATCGTATTGTGCCGTTTCTGTTTTAGATGATCTAAGTCATCAACCAGAAAAATATTCATTGGTATTCTCTATGGCACTTAATATATTGGCATGATTACATGGATGTTTCAGTTTTCCCACTTCTAGAGTTAATTGTATTGGAGCATTATATTTCAAAAATACTAATAATAAGTAAATCTTGAAACTCTGGGTATATTTAAGATGTTATATTGTTTGGCCATCACATACCAAGCAATAAATATCTCTCTGCCTGTTTATTAATTATTATTGGAGCTGCAGCATTTGGTAACCACTGTTACTTAACTCAAAGGCATCCCAGGGCTATAGGTTCTTAATGGGCATAGTGATCAGAAAAACTAGAGAAAAAGGGGCGCCTGGTGGCTCAGTCGTTAAGCGTCTGCCTTCGGCTCAGGTCATGATCCCAGGGTCCTGGGATCGAGCCCCTCATTGGACTCCCTGCTCCACGGGAAGCCTGCTTCTCCCTCTCCCATTCCCCCTGCTTGTATTTCCTCTCTCGCTGTGTCTCTCTCTGTCAAATAAATAAATAAAATCTTAAAAAAAAAAAAGGGAAAAGAAAAATTAGAGAAAAGATTCAGTGTTTCAAGACTGGGCACCTAAGAGTACATCTCAATGGCTATTCTTACACTTAGCATTCCTCTACTGCCAGAGCAGTTTTAAATTTTGAAAATATTACTTCAAAAAGAATACTAACTCCATACCTAAAAATGTTTGCCAAATATCATTTGAAGGATAGTTTGGCTAGGTAGCTTATGGATAGAGATATGACGAATCTGATGGAGAAGTAGAAGCAACAGAATCAAAGGATTTTTTTTTTTTTTTTTAGTCACCTGAAGAATTGTAGTGGCTTTTGCATTTATGTGGCTCTTGATGGAAATTTCCAGTGTACAATCTGAAAAACTCTAAGAGGACTTCCTACTTATAGAAAGAAGGGCCTACGTGACCTGTTCAATCTCACCCCATTTTCACTTTCACTGATGCTCTTAGGATACCATGGAAACCAACTTGCTGTTGAGATATCCTGCTTTGCTAGGGACTGGGGCCACATGACTAATTTCTTTCTACATAATTTCTCTTCCTACCTGTGGTTTCTGCATGTGCTTGGGGACGTAGACAAGGGAGATTCCTTGGTTCAAAATTGACATTTCTACCCATATATTTTATGTTATTTTATCCCAGTGATTCTAGGAATTTATTCTAGGGAAATACTCTCTAATTTGCTGACAAATCTTCATCATAGTATTTTTAGAATAGTAGAAAAATTTGAAACAACTTGTATTTGTCCCACATTAGAGGAATGGTTAAAGCATAGTATAATAGCTGGGTAAAATATTATGCAGTCATTGAAAATAATGATTACCAGGGGCTTTGGGGGGGTTTCTGGGTTTTTTTAAAGATTTATTTATTTGAGAGAGTGAGTATGGAGGAGAGGGAGAGAGAGAGTCTCAAGGAGACTCCACGCAAAGCTCAGAGCCAAGCTCAGAGCCCTGCGCGGGGCTTGATCTCATGACCCTGAGATCACGACCTGAGCTGAAACCAAGAATTGGATGCTTAACAGACTGCATCACCCAGGCGCCCCATTACCAGGTTTTTTTTTTACTGGCATATATGGGAAGATACTTAACGATGTCATGGGTTGTTTTTAAAGCAAGGTATAGAATTGCACATACTGAAAAATCTTTTCAATATAAAAGAATACTATTTAGGAAAAGGAAAAGAACATAGAACGGGGGCAGGCACCTGGGTGGTTCAGTTGGTTAAGTGTCCCACTCTTGTTTTTGGCTCAGATCATGATCTCAGGGTTTTGAGTTCAAGCCCCCATTGAGCTCCACACTGAGCATGGAGCCTACATTAAAAAAAAAAAAAAAAGAATATAAAAGGTTCCCTGCCTTTTTATATTTTTCTGTGCTTTCAAAATTTCTATGTAAATGTTTTATTTGGTACACAGAAAAAGAGGCAATTGCTCTTAGTCTTTTTATTTTTTACCTATTTAGACTTCACATTCCTCAATAAATAATTGAACTAGATAGCTTTTTATATCTCCCTCTTTTTCTAATAGTCTTATCATGTGAGAAAGCCATGACTTCATTCTTTATGTTTTGTGTTAAGGATGAGCTTTCAAGCAGAAGAAAGAGGGTGCCAGTGAGTGATTTAAACTATTTGAATAGTGATAAAGGACCTGGGAATGGATCCCTAAAAAGGGAATTTTTGTCATTTAGGGAAATTTTATAAATAAAAATTATTATCAGTCCACAAATAGGTTTTTTTTTAACCCACCTTCCTCCCTGTCTCCAGTAGCCTTTGTGTTCCATGAGAAATACAGTGAATAAAGATCAACATTCTTGGGCGCCTGGGTGGCTCAGTTGGTTAAGCGACTGCCTTCGGCTCAGGTCATGATCCTGGAGTCCCGGGATCGAGTCCCGCATCGGGCT